AATTATTTGAACTCCTGTTTTCAGTGATGATTAAAAGGAGAAGTAGGAAAACCCTGAACGGGTTCTTGTGACTTTTACCAGAACTTTATTATTAAGGCCAAAACTAACAGCAGCAAAACATTTAAAGTTCAAGAAATCATCAAATCAAATAATTCTATTTCCATATCTGAAAACGAAAGAGGAGGTGTTCATACCTTTTATTTTAATTTTCTGGAACCTTTTTTACTTCTATTTATACATTTCTATTTATATACTACATCTATATTAGTATTTGTACTAGATTATGCACTACATATCAATAGACATAATCTGGAATTATTTCAAAATAACATTTTGAGTGATAGAAATACCCAGATCCTCTAATAGTATTTCACACATTTAGGTATTTTGCATTTATCCCTAATTTATATTTAGTAAGAAATTGCTTTTTTTATACCTCCTTTTCAATATTTATGTTCAATCTGTGCTTAATCTCCATATCTGTTCCACAATTAAATATGCACATACTTTCCATTGTTAGTGTGTCTTTTTATAAATATCTTTAGCTAAAGAGCGAGTCATTTTAAATGAAATGTTTGTAGCAGCAGCAACACTTTTAATCAATCTCAGATTGAACACGATGCTTTCTTCTCTTTTAAACTGAAACAGGAAACTGAATGCCACAAAGACCTTAGTCCAAAACAGAATGCAGTTAGAGATAAACAAGCTAATGCAAACACGATCAAACTACAACAGCGTTAGAGTTTTGAAGATCTTTATTAATCTAAACCATGAGTTTATTTAGAAAAACACTCCAATAATTTTGCTTCCTATATGTAAAAAATTACGCAAACCACAATCTGTTGTTATTATATGTGCACCTGTTCAATATTTATAAAAATATGAATATTTTACTTGAATGTATAAATATTCATTCTACCCACCAAGGCTTTTAAGGTGTACCCTAGAGTTATATGAGAATAGTCCCGCTGTTACCTTAATGTTCTCTGGTTTGCACACGGCCCTTATTCAGTGAATATCTTTAATCGATCAGTTTAGGAAACAAGATGTTCCTCTTTAAAAATGATACCATTTTTTTTTGCCTGACCAAAGTAAAGATCAGTATGCAGGTTTGTTATGCACCTAATGAGCTGCAATCCTTAAATATATAAAAAAATCCTAAAATATATTTGCAAGAAATCCACATTTTAAATGTTTTTTTATTTTTTAACCCTGCTGAAAGTTAAAATGCAGTTTACGACTTAGTTATTTTACCGTTGTTGCAAAGAGCATGCCACAATCGGCAACCCTATCAGAGCATCAGTAATGTGACCTCATCGCTATAACCGAAGCAAAGTAAACACAGCTGTCACATGCATGCAAGGCAGCAGACTAAATGTTCGAGCATCTTTTATGCTTCGCTCTTCAAGCCTGGTCATTAGACTAAACCGTCCTCTCCAATTTGAGCTATGAATGGGGGAGGGAGCAAAATGTGTCCTTTTAGATGACAGCTCAGATAAAATATCAGCATAAAACTGGAAAGTTGTAACATCTTTACAGGTTGCTAAAGTATTCTTTAAATTCAGATAAAATGATAGTCATGTTTCTTTCTGTGCTTGAGTAACCACAGTTTCTGCCTTCGCCTGAAGATGATGCAGGATGACTTGCTCTGGAGTGGTCTGTGAAACCACCATGATAACTGTAATGAAGCACTGATACAAAATGCAGCAGTTAGTAACAGGCCATTGGTTGAAAAACCTATTTATATATTGTAATTAGCCAGATATAAATATGTTTTAACGTTTAAAGCATGGCTCATTTAATCAAAAAGTTCCAACTGACATAAAAAATGGACTAAACCTCAGCATATCAGAGTACCAGCAAAGCAAAAGGTTAGCTTTATGCTAGGCACAAAGATACACAATGCTTTCCAATCAGTCTGTACATCTTAGGGGGGGGGTATTAGCAAAGGAAGCCAGTCCAATTCATTAGCTAATGTTGAATCGGCACACTGTCAGCATTCACTAATCAGTTTTCCTGATGGATGCAGACATGCTAACAGTGCAGCAGAAAGGATGAACAATCTGGACTCTGCTAAAGAAACCTGGAACAACTGCATAGGGGTTTACCTTCATGAATTACAACGATGACTACGGGGATTATTCTAGGAAGAAACGGGCCCTGACAAAATTTTTGCTTTTTGAGCAGTATTATTATCAAGTGTCTATCTCAAAGCTACACACCCAGTAGTATATAAAGGAAGTGTAGACAAGTAAAAAAAAAAATATTAAAAGTGCACAAGGAAGAGAAAGTAAAAGTCAATCAGTTGACAGGCTCATGTGATGCTGCAGTCACAAGACGCTTTTATAAACCTGGGCGAGGCCTGGAAGGAGTCTTTGTCTTTAACATTAAGTAACATTGGTAGAGGAAACATTTTTCTTTTAATTTCAGGTGTAAACATTGTCATAAGTATTTGGGTTCAGACTGTCGGAGACAGACAGTAGCAGCTTTAATTATGTCAATTTTACTGCTTTTGTCATCTATACATTTAAAAAAAAAAGAAGCAATAGTGATTTAATAATATTTAAAAACCCAAATGATTTGATATAAAAAAAACTAACTTGATTAGTCGTACAAAAGTAAAAAAAATGCAACACTACAAATGAGGATGATGGTCAAATAAAATCCCAACAAGTAAAATAAATCTTTCATAGTTGTCTCTAAACTCCATCTTTAACATGGATCTGAAAAAATGAAGAGTTGCCGCTATCGAGTCGTAATTGGGTGATTGCCCAACTCTACTACTTCCCGAACTTCAGCCAATTCCTTTGTTTCCCCATCTTTTATTACTGTTCCAAATGATTAATCCAGATGTGTGTGACTTCAGTAACCATTACGAGAATAGCCAGACACACCTGGATTAATCAGTTAGTCCAGAAATTAAAGACAGGAAACAAAGTAGCGGGCTAAAGTTCAGGAAGTAGTGGAGTTGAGCATATAATATAACTCATTACTTGTGATTCTAGTTGTTTGAAGTGTTTTTCGAATTATACTTTACTTATGAATGTGACCAGACTATGAAAACAGTTAAAACATCCTGTAATAATCAGTAATCTGACGGGAAGAGAGCGATGGCTTGGGTAACATGCTCACATGTTCTTGTTCCTCTTTAAAGGTTAAATAGCAGAATTTTTGACCCACCTTCACCTTGAGAAATATCTATTGATCCAAGCCCACATACAGGGAAACCTTACCTAAAGGGACAGTACACAATACTAGAGAACAAATATATAGCAATGTTCATTTATTGAGATACCTGTTTATAATCATTTAGAAAACAAAGGGGTTATAAGATTACATAAACTGACCACTGAGACATAGTAAGTGTATCATTGTGATATAGTGTTTATTTTACAAATAGTGTATTTTTCTTGGGCCACATGCCCACTCAGAGATAGGACCATGAATGCAGATGTAAATGAATGACCAAGTCAAATGAGGTATTAAAAAAATACTAACCAAAGATCGAAACATGATGACATCTTCTATTGCTCTATACAAATATTGAAAGTGTAATTTATCAAACGCAGCTCTATGGAAGAGGATTAGGGCCACTGAAAAAATAAAAAAGTTAACTGATTCTTAAATATTACTTCAGTTTAAAATGGGAAACAAGTCAGAATTCTGACATTAATCTCAGAATTCTGACTTTAAACAGAATTCTTACTTTTTTCCTCAGAATTCTGACTTTAATCTCAGAATTTTGGATCTTATTGGGCACCATGATGTGGAAGCCCTCAGCTTCACTGACAAAGATGTGAGTTGTTTGGGAGGGCCAGTAACACTTTGGTGGAAAATGACCGGATTAGGTGACTTTTTACGTGCCCAAGGGGTCCCTGGTGATGCTATTTCATTAATGGAAGAGCAGAAGGTGATTAAAACAAGAGAGCTAGTTTAGTCTCTAAAACAGACATGGCTACAGCTTGTTGCTAACCTGTTTGTCAGCAGTCAGAATTCAATCAGAATTCAGACAAAAAAAGGCAGAATTCAGAGATTGAAGTCAAAATTCAGAGATCGAAGTCAAAATTCAGAGATCGAAGTCAAAATTCAGAGATCGAAGTCAAAATTCA